GAGCGAGAGAGCGAGCGATCGAGCGAGCGAGCGAGCGAGCGAGCGAGACGAGCGAGCGAGCGACAGCTAGCGAGCGGCGAGCGAGCGAGCGAGCGAGCGAGCTAGCGAGCGATCTATCTATCTATCTATCTTCTATCTATCTATCTATCTATCTATCACTATCATCATCTATCTATCTATCTATCTATCTATCTATCTATCTATCTATCTATCTATCTATCCAACTTTTCATTGGCTCATAGTTTTTCGATAAGAGCGACAATATTTAAGAAAATCGAATGGAGTGTAAAGTTTCCTATTTGGCAAATATATCTGGTCCCTTAAAACTATTAGAGGTTATTATATTAGACACAATGCCTTCAAAGTCAATTGCTTTTCTTGGCCCGTTTAATAAACATAATATTACCAATTTCTTTTATATAAACATTGTAACAAATACCATATTTGGCATAAAACGGGAAACAAGGATTAAAGCTATTTTTCATAATTCATATTTGAAAACATTACCTAAAGCTAGCGAATATTGAAAATTTATATTGGATGCTGTACCTCCTTTATAAATTCATTCACAAACACTACAAACACTAATGAGATGTTATATAAAATGGCCTTGATGTAATACAAAAAAAGTCTATAAAAGCTAAACTTTTAAAAAATGAAAAATAAAAAAACAATATACAAATAAACTTCCACGTTTCCCTTTAAAAAAAGACAACTTTATTTTAAGTATGAAAGAGGCTGACAAACATTATTCTTCCTCCCTGTCATTGCAACCCATTCCATTGATATCCCTTCACTACTATCTCATTCTACATTTAAATTACATTTACAGATTGTTCACGTTTCTTGCTTGTTTTGTTTTCTGTTTTCTGTTGATTTTGTTTTTGTTCATCTTCGCTTTTTGGCACATTCTGGAATTGTACTACAACCATTTAGATTGTACATAAAGTGGTGTTTTTGTGATTTTCCTGTCGTATGTTTCAATGTGTTTACAATGCTCATCATCATATTGACGTTCAGCCTAAAACTTTAACTACCAAAAACATTCTAAACTTGTCCGAAGGACAGACAGACTAAATGACTGAGCTACATACATAGATACATGATTCGTTATAAAGATTCAGATAATTTAAGGATTGTATTCGTTATCGAATTCTGAAATTTTCTTTTTGAGAATATTCAAATCAAAAAGTTTTATTTTCCGGGGTTTTACCTTAGAAACTACTTACATATAATGATTAATATCTGAATTCCCACACCGATTACTATAGTAATCATAGGTCTATAGACCTATGATATATGGGATAGTTATAGAATGATAGAATATAAGTTGGGTCTGCCTTATCGAAGGCATATTAAAATACGGTCTAAATATGTATCCTTATCATTGGCAATTTCCGAAATGTTATCTCAAAGTAACGTTACAAAATTTTTGTAACCCCAAATCTCATAATACATACATATATATTTTATTTATAAGCGGGATGTGATTTCAAGAGCGCGCAAAGATTGCATCTTTTTAAACTATTTTAAAAATCCTATTTGTTGGTTTTGCCGATTTATTAAAACACTAGAACTAGTCTCTGGTTTAGTATATAGACTAGTGGACAAGTCCATTGACTTGTCTATGGAATAGTCTAGGGACTGCTCTATGGACTAGCTTATTGAATAGTCGATTGACTAGACTATTGACAGTCTATTACTATTTAGAAAAACAGTAAACTATGGACTAGCCTATGTACAAGCGCAAATTTACTATATAGAAAAAGTACTTAATATGTCGTAGGAGTACTGCGGTATTTTTCGATGTGAAAAGTGCTGAAAATATTAGAATCGTATTGAAGATCACATATTAAATTTAATTACACAGGCCAAACAATTTTTAACCCACCGACCGAAAGTGTACTTTGATCAGTGGGTTAATGGATTGATCTGTGCTGAACTCGGATTTGGGCTCTAAATTTCTCAATCTTATCAGGTTTTCAATATATTGAGTTACAAAGCAATATCGATTGTCCTCACGCTCAAATATGGCCAAAAACGGAATTTTCTCAAGTTTTAGGACACGATATATCGAAATCCTGATGTAATGGAGATTTTCTGAGTTCAGAAATCAGTGCAGCTCAATGCAATATAAAAGTATAAGCGGGTCTAGGGGTTTCGATTTTTTCGAAATTTTCTTGGTCAAAATTAAAGGTAGTTTGGAAATTGGAGGATTTACAAGGGTGGATGGATACAGTAAAATCGTCTCAGAAAATTACTTTGAACCACATGGTATACTATAAGTTAGATGTTTGACTAACATTTCTAGGCTTTTTTTTCTAAAAGTTCGGGACCGGTTATCCAATGAAATGAAAGAATGTAAAATAAAGGGAGGCACTTAAATAATTAACAAATATTTTCCTACCCTTAACCATAGTAACAAATAACACTGTTATAGAGCATATTTTTGGTTACCCTGGCGACAACACTTTAAGTATAATTATTCATAGAATTGACACTTTTAATGTTCTGTATACAGGGTATTAGTGTATCACTAACTGGCTTTATCTCAACTATAAGGAATTGCTGCTGTTCGTTCAAATCAACTGCAGGCAGGCTGGCGGGTTGACTGGTTGTTTGCTTTACAGAATGGCTGACTGACTGGGTGGTTGGGTATGATTGAATTTGAGGTTTGGTGGAGACTTTTTATCTTTTATTTGTTGGCTTGGCTAAATACATAAGCCAACAACAACAGCATTAGTGGCAACAAAACACCTTAATTTTTAGGCACATGTATGAAACAAAATTGATTTTTTTTCATTTTTTTCTTCACAGACCATATTATTTATTTATAAAATTTGTTTTCATTATAGTGTATTATAAACATTTCTTTATTCTTTTATAAAAGAAAAGATAACCCCTGTAAAAATGTATACAAAGGGAGTTTTTTTTTCGTTAACAATTTTTTATTCAATAATTATGATGTAAACTATCAGATACATTCTTTATTATTAAATTTTTTTTGTACATATTTTGTTGTTGTTTACTCAAAAAATATTTCACGTGTTGGTTTTTTAGCAAATTGAATTTGAATTTTTTTTAATTATATTTTACACTCACTTTTAGATTGTAATTACTTTTTTTAATTTCATTAAAATTATTGTTAAATTAATGTTGCGTTTAAATCATTAAATATTAATGTGTTTAATTTATATTTTTATAAAAAATATTTAGATGTTTTTGTCCGCGACACCATGCGTTTTCTTCAGAGTTTTCTTTCGCCTAAATTTATTTTTTATTAACAAAAAGAAAGAGCTCGTCAGTCGAAGAACATTCTCTTAACCGACTGATTTTCATTTATTCACATTTTGCTCACCAAACCTTTCTTTTATTATACCCTACACTACTATAGTGGGTAGTAGGGTATTATGGATATGTTCTGATGTTTGTAACATTAAGAAATTATTAGTCCTTCTTATAGTATTCCAACCGCCAACAATTTATTAATGTGCACATGAATGTCAAAGTTCTTCGTGCAAAATTTGAGGATTCCATCTCTAATAAATTCCTACAAATGCGAATTTTTGTATTTAATTCATGCGGAAGGTACCACGCTCTCTTTTCCTAGTCCGCCAATTTATTACCCAAATATTCACATGGATGTCAGCATTTTTCATACAAAATTTTAGAATTTTAAACACTTTTTAAAGTCCGCCCATTTTCCCTCAAATGTTCGCATGGATGTTAAATTTCTTCTGGCAAAATTTGGAGATTCTACATCTCATAGTTTCCCAGATAGAGGAATTATTGTGTTTAATTCATATGGGAGGTGCCATGCCCCCTATTGCCAGTCTGCCAATTTATTACCCAAATATTCACATGGATGCCAAAGTTGTTCGAGCAAAAGTTGTTCAGTTATTCGAATTTTTGTATTTAATTCATATGGCTGGTTCAATGCACCCGTAATGAAAGTCCGCCCGTTTCATATGGGAGATGCATCGCCCTCTATTGCTAGTTTGCCCATTTTTTGTCCTAAATATTTATGTATGTTGATACTAAATTAGCTCCGAAAAAAATTAAGAACTCTGTTATATTTTTTCAGATATTTAAGATTTTCTTATATGGGAGGAGCCATGAACACTATAGCTAGGCCGCCCATATGTTCTTATGGATGTCAAAGTTGTCCATACAATATTTGAGAACTCTAACTGTTGCAGTTTCATGTGTTAACATCGCTGGGGTCCATCATATTGATTAAATTGTGATACCTATAAAGAGAGGTATTAGTGCACTTGGACCTGAAAACTCTAGCATCCTATCCATAGCATAACTGGTGTAGGGTATCATATGGTCGATCATGACCGTCTATACTTTCATACTTGTTCTTCATAAATTGTATATACAAAATTCAACAAAGGCGATAGTAGATATTTTTGTTGTTTTCTTTTTTTGTTGCTACTGCTGGCAGAGTACTGCGCCAACCAAAATGAACGACGGCGGTAGATATTTCAACGGCTGCTTAACGTGGACTGTATGGTTTCAATAGTTTTAAATCTGTCAAGGGAATTATACCGTTATGAATATGTACATATGTATATCATTATACTCCAAAACCATTATTTAAAACTATTGCAAAATAAATTTAATAATTTTTTATGTAAATTTTAAAGCTAAAAAATGGCTAAAAATTTCTTTAGGTAGACATTGAAATTCGGTATCATGTTTTCAATACTTTAAGATGGGATTTGAACTGCTAAAATCATAAGGCCGATAAAAGGAGGGTTATCCAACTGTCGTGGGAATGAGATGCTTTCAGTATTTGCACTACTTTGAAAATCTTATTAACAATAAAGACCACATTTAATAAAGCGTTAATTCAATTTTATTAAATAATAATAATCATATTAAAAATAATACTACAATAATATATAATAATATAAATCCCATTTCCATATACACAAATATGGAGAATATGTCCTACAGAGAATAATATATAAATAAATTTACCCTTGTGTCTACCATAATTTATCACTAAACACAATCTCTTTAAATATACAATCCTGCTTAGCAATAGTAACCATGGGTTTTTTCGATTGATTGGCATCCTGTACCTTTTGACGAATTTCGGCAGCTCTTACATCGTTGCGTATGTAAAAGAGTCGCACAATCTGATCTTCGGTCAACGATGGATAATTACCTAATAGAGTATGCAAGTCTAAGAGTAGCACTTCTACATCACACACCAGTAAGCTTGAAAGCATCGATATCAATTTCAGAGGAGAATCACTTAACGAAAGATTGGGAGCAATTTTCTCAAAGAATCTCTCTAGACGTTTTGCCTCGGAATTTATTTTGGTCTTGATGGCTTCACAATCGCTAGAAGGACGTGATAAACGTTTCGAGAGTAAAGCACGTATATAGCGTTTGGCCAATTGTTTTTGGGCCTCATTAATGACCATTTCGAAATTGGAGGGCGTTAAATGATTGTAATCCTAAAAGGAAAATAATATTAATTAAATTCATAAATTATTGAGAATAAAAAAAATACCTGAAAGTAATCGTCCAATGTTATACAAATGGTATCCACCGATATGGAGGTTGTAAGCCATTTTTGTGTAAACAAATCATTGAAATGACCATCTAAATCTAAGAAAGCCTCTTCCAGCAAATATCCAGTCGCTTGAGAACGTATACGCTGGAATGTATCCACAAGTTTCTCAAAACACTCATAGTGTTCAGTACGTGCATTGGGCCAATATTTCTGCTTCAGTTGATGTGCCAAATCCAACATTTGCTGACTATTATTTACTATAGCAATAATATGATGCGTGAAAAACTTGATTTGATCACGATTACGAAAATGATGTTCCTTTAAATCCACTACATGTTTCAAATACGTTTGACCAAACAAATCCAATTGTCGTATACTCATTACTAAAGCCTTAAAAGTCAAATCATTATGGATGGTATCAGTAACCTGCAGCAATTGATTAATCATATCGAAAATAATAACCGAGGCAGGACTATGATAATATTGTTCATCTTGATCGGGTGTTTGTTCCGAAAACCAATCACTTCTATCTTTGTCTGCAGTTGTGGTCATCCATTCTTGGAAGTTTCGTTGCATATTGCCTAAATATTCGTCTTCCAGTGAAGTTAAATGTTCGGCTGTAAGCAGAGATCCTGCTACTTGTTTTATGTTGACATTTAAGTCAGGATGTCGCATCAGTTCATGACCGGGATAAGTGTTTATAACCCAGGATAATAGAGAAACATATTCATTACCTTCTAAACCACCACTAGCTATATTTTCAATCTGTGAATATATAAAATCAAGGATTTTTAATCAATACTTAACAAAAGAACTGAGCTTGAACTGAACTAGAACTGAACTAGAACTGAACTAGAACTGAACTAGATCTGAAGTAGAACTGAACTAGAACTGAACTAGAACTGAACTAGAACTGAACTAGAACTGAACTAGAACTGAACTAGAACTGAACTAGAACTGAACTAGATCTGAAGTAGAACTGAACTAGAACTGAACTAGAACTGAACTAGAACTGAACTAGAACTGAACTAGAACTGAACTAGAACTGAACTAGAACTGAACTAGAACTGAACTAGAACTGAACTAGAACTGAACTAGAACTGAACTAGAACTCAACTAGAACTGAACTAGAACTGAACTAGAACTGAACTAGAACTGAACTAGAACTGAACTAGAACTAGAACTGAACTAGAACTGAACTAGAACTGAACTAGAACTGAACTAGAACTGAACTAGAACTGAACTAGAACTGAACTAGAACTGAACTAGAACTGAACTAGAACTGAACTAGAACTGAACTAGAACTGAACTAGAACTGAACTAGAACTGAACTAAAATTGAACTAGAGTTTAACAAGGACTAAATTAGAACTATTCTAGAACAGAACTGGGACTAAATTATCAGTGAACTAGATCTGAAATAGAACCTAACTTCAACTAGATAAGGAATTAACTACAACTGAACTAGTACTTCAGTTATTTCAACTATATCTAGATATTCCAAAAAAGTACTTACATAATTCGATAATCCTTCATGATACATTTTAACATATTCCTCAAATATGTTGTAGTGCGGTGGAAAGCAGGGTACACACAATGACTTGACTACTCTCAAATCCACAAGAATATTCTGTCGCAGTATTTCCAAATCACGCACCAACCACATCTTATTATCAGCTCTTTCCTCCAATTTGGAGCCTTCAATTCTTGTGATAACAGCCTCCTTTAAAACATTCATAGCCATAGCACGCCATTGCCGAGGACGTCCGGGAGGTAGAAAAGAAGTCACCTTTTGTTGCTGCAAAGCAAATTGATCGTTTTTCTCTTCACGCTCAATGATTCTCAATGCTGTGACAATGAATTTTGGTTCTTTGCGTACGGTATTTAAAGTACGACTTAATATCAAACGTAATTTCTTTTCCAAAGCCTGTGATACGGTGTCGATTTTCTCAAAATGTCGTTTAAGTGTAATCTTATCCGAGGCATGTTGTTTGGGTTGTTTGTGCAATTCATAGAGTAAATCATCACGGGCATTTTCCAACTCAGCCAAACGCTGGTGGGCATTAAGCAGTTTATCTTCTTCAATTAAGGCCATAGTTTGCTGGACACTGGAATCTACATTGAAGATATGCTTTAGATTCTCTACGGCTGTAGCATACTGGGAATGTTTTGTATTTTCTTCGCGTACATCTTCCAATGCATCATATATTTCCGGAACACCCTGCATAAGTTTCTCCACTTCGGCCATGGTCTGACTTACCTCTTTTACATCTTCGAGACAGGTCTTTAATTGCTTTAAACCCACTCTCACACCTTCTAATTGATTTTGCATGCCCGTTTTCAGCAAAGCCTCCACAGAGGCTTTTTTACGTTGCACTCGGTGACAATATTGCTCAACTTTTTCCAGTTGTCCCGGTCGCTGGAGCATATTTTTAATGTCTTTAAGGGCCGCTTGACGTGCCTCTTCCTCTAATTGTTGCAAATCCATGGGCGTTTTTTGTGTCTAATTACAATCAATTCACTGCACAAAATGTTGACGTTATAAAATTAATGTAAAAAATTGTTATGATTCTTCTTCTTTTTTGCGCCTATCAGCTGTTAAATAATATAGTGGGTAGTGATAACATATGTTGAAAACAACTTGGCATTACTTATTTAACAGTGAGGAGAAAAATTGTTAATAGTTTTAGAGCGGGTTTTTGAGATGGTAATCAAATGCCAATTAATAATCAGATTAGTTAATCTAAAAATAAATTTAATCTTATGTTAATCCCCTTTGATGTTTTTGAGTACAAGATTAAACTTCGCATTGTTGCCATACAAAACAACAGAAAACTTCACTGTTTGTTATCAAAACAATGCATATTTTATAAAAAAGAAGAAGACAATTGTAAATTTAATATGAAAATTAAAGAAAACTTAAATTAAAAACAAAAAAATGTATTTTGAAGTGTCCATAATTTATACTAATCAATAAATAGAACATTTTAATGTTTATATTTATAAACATTTTATTAATTTTTTTGCATCAGCTGTTTACACTTTTGCATTTCGTGCTTAAGATTAAACCACCTCCATTGGGCGCTTAAACTTGCAAACAAAATTAACTAATTGAGTACTCAAAAACATCTTTCGAGGATTAATTTAATTTAATCGCTAATCTTTCACCTAAAGATTGGCCCTTAAGGTTTAAAATTAAAAAGATTTACTTTAATTTTTATATATTTTCTTGCAATTAGATTGAAATAAAATTAACATAAAATTGTGCATTTCCATTATTTTCATTCAAATCAAAGTGAGTAATTCGAAAAAGTTCTATGACCCTTATACAGTGACAGTACTGAATGAAACCAATAATTTCAAAACAATTTCAATTTAATTTTCAAACCTGAAAATAATGCTATGTTTCCATTGGCTTCAAATCTACCAGGTTTGCGTATACCTCTTCGAGGTGTTTCCACTGAGCTTTCTCGTTTTTGAAATTCAAATTTTTGAACAAATCCTGTCATATAACGAAAATAAACATTTTTTTTTAATTTAAACATTAAAAATTAAACATTAAAAATACAAACTTACGGTTTTAATTGTATAAATTTATTTATTAAATGCCAACAATTTTAAAATTATTATTTGTTCATTTTTTATTTTGGTTGAAAATTAAATTTCCGAAATTTTTACGAAATCTATATAAAAAACAAGTAAAAAATTATAATCAGGCGAAGCCGACCATATAATACCCTACACCTTTGACAAAAATATAATGTGATTTAGTTGCCATAATAAAGCATTTAAGTTGAATTGTACCTTGCCTTAGATATACATACTTAAGCCGTTTATTGTTGAATAAAATTGTGGACATTTAAGTGAAATTTTGATGGGGTTTTTCATAGGGGCTAGGGTCATATGAGAACCTATTATTATGGAATTCGTCTTGTATACAACTTGGTTATTGCAGCTTTTTGTCGAGATATGAGTATATTAAACTTAATTATGAACTTAAAAGCCCTATTCGGCGGGTTCAGTTGTATGGGGGATAGGTGAAATAATGGACCGATGTAAACCATTTTCAACAGGCTTCATCTACGGTACCATAAAAGATCATGTGCCAAATTTCATTGAATTATCTCCAAAATTGCGACCTGTAGTTTGATTACAAGTTTTAAAAGCCCTATTCGGGGGTTCAGTTGTATGGGGGCTAGGTGAAATAAAGGACCGATGTTAACCATTTTCAATAGGCTTCGTCTACGATACCATAAAAGATCATGTACCAAATTTCATTGAATTATCTTCAAAATTGCGACCTTTAGTTTGATAACAAGTTTTAAAAGCCCTATTCGGGGGTTCAGTTGTATGGGGGCTAGGTGAAATAATAGACCAATGTTAACCATTTTCAATAGGCTTCGTCTACGGTACCATAAAAGATCATGTGCCAAATTTCATTGAATTATCTCCAAAATTGCGACCTGTAGTTTGATTACAAGTTTTAAAAGCCCTATTCGAGGGGTTTAGTTGTATGGGGGCTAGGTGAAATAAAGGACCGATGTTAACCATTTTCAATAGGCTTCGTCTACGATACCATAAAAGATCATGTGCCAAATTTCATTGAATTATCTGCAAAATTGCGACCTGTAGTTTGATTATAAGCTTTAAAAGCCCTATTGGGGGGTACAGTTGTATGGGGGTTAGGTGAAATAAAGGACCGATGTTAACCATTTCAATAGGCTTCGTCTACGATACCATAAAAGATCATGTACCAAATTTCATTGAATTATCTTCAAAATTGCGACCTGTAGTTTGATTACAAGGTTTACATGGACGGACGGACGGACAGACGGACGGACATAGCTAAATCGACTCAGAAAATGATTCTGAGCCGATTGGTATACTTTAAGGTGGGTATAGGACCAATATTATTGTGCGTTACAAACATCAGCACAAACCCAATATACCCTCCCCACTAAAGTGGTGTAGGGTATAACGAGAGAAACAATTGACAGTTTTTTTAATCTGTTATAACAAAGATAACGCTGGCTAGAATCCGAATCTCAAAAATTTCCCATCATATCAAGTTTTCGAGATAAAATTAAAAAAAAACTCGTTTTTTTGCCATTTTTAGACGCAATAAAAATTATGAAAATGTTTGCCGTAAAGGTAATATTAATTATTTTAGAAAATAAAGTGGTTTTTTAACTATGGCTTAAGTTATAGCGAAATAGAAAGAAGATGCATCGGAAGTTATGGTTTTATTTTTAAGTCGACATATTGAGTTTCAGTCAACATAAAAAATTTTATAAATAAGGATGTCTTCGTGCTGTTATAACGTCTCAAATATTTCCAAAAACAGGGTTTTTGCATCCTTTATGACAAGATATCTGGAAAACTTTATGTGATAGAGAAATTCAAAGCCTTCATTCGGATTCTGCTCAATTCCCTAGAAAAGTATACTTTAGTAGAGATGAATAATAATAATAATTTATAAGAATGTGTAATCTTTTTTTAATATTTTTTATTTATCGATTATAATCTTTTACAGTTTGTTTGTTTATCAATATGTATATGAGATTACATATTAACTTTATATAATAATTATATATTTTTAAATTTATATCATTTTATAATAATAATAATAATTAAAACAAAAATATATTTATAAATAGTAAAATAATACATTGGCATAAATATCTTTAATATAAATACAAATAGCGAAAATATCAGTTTTATTACTTTAACTTTCGACTTTCGAAACAAACAAAAAATAAAGAAAATAAAATAAAAAATTGTTTAAGGAAGATGATGTTTAGTAAAATGGTTTCGTTTGTTTGATATACAATTATTATTACTTTTATATATATAGTAGATATATAGTTTTTCTCGTTACTTAGTTTTCACTTGTTTTTTTTTTTAATAAATTACATTCATACATACTTACATTACATTATGTATTTTTGTTAATGTTTTGTGTGTTTATTTGTGGTTGTGTATCGATCGGTAAAAGGAATTTAAAAAAATCTTGTTTTATTTATTGTTTATTTAGAAACTTTTTAACTATTAAAAATAATATTAAAATGTTTACAGAAATTATTAAATAAAGAAGCATATTAAATGTTTATTTTGTTTAAAGAAAACTGAAATTGATTTATAAAAATTATAATAATGAGCGAGCATAAGAGTTTGTTGTTAAAACTTAAAAAAGAAAATAAATAAAAGATTTAGTAAAATGCTTAATAAATTTGATTATTTTTTTCTAAATATTATTAAATAATGAATACTGAATATGATAAATTGATATGACATGCAGTTTTTAGCTTATTGTGATAATATAGTGATTTTTTTATAATTTGTTTAATCAATTTTTAAAATACAATTATAACAGATAAAAATTGAGTTTTAAAGTGTTAAAAATTTGCTTTAAAAGCAATAATTTTATTCAAATTAATTGTATAAAAAAAGTTTATTTAAAATTGTACATGTTAATTCCAAATGACATGTTCCCTGTTATAGAACTTTATTACGATTAAGTTTGGATTTAGTACAATTTCACTAAAAATTTGTTTTTATATACAAACGCTACCAAGTTTTTCATCGTTAGTCTGAATTTCGATTAAGTTACGCGGCATACCGAAAAAAAGCTATTCCCCAAAAAAGGAATTGTGTGAAAGGAATTGAATTTAAACAATTATTAATGGAGATTTCGAACGCTTTCGAATACCAGCATTAGGCTTATAAGGCGCCAAGAATTTGGCAACCGATAAACCCTGTCCCCTAGTTTTTCAAAAAACTGTTGATTTGAAACAAAAGATCTTTCCAAGCGGAATGTTTAAAATAATTAATTAAATTCTTTGTGGATTAACTAAACTAAATGGAAACTAAAGATGCTTAAACAAAATCGAACGGAATAATAATTAAAACCACCAAAACTTTCTGTTTAAGGGTTTTCAGATTCATATGAAATCGTATAAAGCACGAGAACGACGATAGCCGTCAGCAGGCATGAAAAATTGTATTTTTTTCAGCTTTTACCATATTAGGAACTATTCTAAATAGTCAACAGACTAGTACGTGGACTGTTCATAGACTAATTAATAGACTTGTTCACTGACAATCAATCGACTGCTGTAAAAACTAGTCAGTAGACTGTTTCTTAGAATAGTCGATAACCTAGTCCATTGACCAGTCCGTAGACTAGTTCCTAGACTAGTCAAAAGTCAAGTCCATAGAATAGTCAATAGACTTTTGCAAAGAATAGTCAATATAATAGACTATTGACCAGTCCATTCATCAATCAATAGACTGTAATATCAGTCAATAGAATATTCCATAGTCCTGTCAATAAAATAGTGAACAGACCGGTCCATAGGATAGTCAATAGTCTATTCCATTGATAATCTATAGATTAACTATAAACTATAGTTAATGAACTAATCTATAAACATTTTAATAGACCAGTCAAAAGACTGGTCCAAAAAGTCCAACAAAATAGTTAAAAGAATAGTCAATATAGTCCATAGACAGATTTTGCAAAATATGCAGTTTTAAAACAGAAATCAAGTTTTAAACAATGATTTTGATTGAAACCTAAATAAAAAACAACAATTACAAACAAGAAAAATGTCACTTCAATAGTTCAGAAAAAGCTAAACATGGAGTTAATTTCAGTTTCAATCATGGAATGGGATTGTGTAATCAATTCGAAATTAAATGTTTGGAGCAATTCTATCGGCATAAAGAATAACTTTTTCTGAAATCCTACATTTGGGTATTTAAAAGTCCATGCCCTTGAACACTTTGACATTGTTTACGTTTGATCACATGTCACCAAACATTTCGTTTTGTTTATTTTTGAATATTATTTCAGAAATTTAAAATTAACTCAATTCTTAAAAAGTTATAATTATAAATTAAAATTCTCTAAGCAATTTAATAATATGCCTTGAAAAAAATCAAGTTATTTACTTTTTTTTAAACATAACCTCAATTTTTGTTAATCAAAGAACACATTATTAAATTTAAACAGAAATATCGCTTAATTAAAGTTTACTCTGTATTTTTTTCTATATTCTCCGAATTTAAGAAAAAGTTAATTATTATCAATGTATGTAAATAGTTATGATTTAACATTACAAATTTAACAAATAATAAAATAAAAAAGTTATATGCCTTGCAATTAAATAATTTAAGGTTTCTTTTACTCATCCAATTACTCATCAATTTAAGTTTTATTTGATTATTTATTATATGAATTTTATTATATTGTTTTTTCTAATAATGAGGTACTTAGCAAATGGGGGGGGGGGGTGTTTAGATATAATTTATTTTGTTTAAAAATTATGTTATTAATTTTAAATAGTTTGTTTAACATTCTATTATGTGTAGTTGTTAAAGTAATAATTACTACCAATATTTAAAAAGCGTTTATCTGTTGTAGATTTTTGTTTTATTTTTGTAGTTATAAATTGTCTGCATTAATAACAATTAAAATTATGTTTTATAAACGTTTACACATCATATAATATTTCTTTATTTAGGATTTTTTTTACTTTATTTGTTTTTTAAATATAGTTTTAACAAAATTTATTTTACAAATTTTATTATTTTTTTATTAAATTTTTAATATTCCTGATTTAACATAACTTTTGCGTTTTTTGAGTTTTTGTTTTAATAAAAACATATTGTAAAGTTATGCTTAAAATAAGTTTATTTATGGCAGCTCTAAACATATTTTTTTATACATAGTTTTTTATTTATTTATCGATTGATTGTTTGTTCATAATTATTTTATTTTTGTTTTAATCAATTTAACAAATATTTTGTTTATTGTTTAATTTTACAGACTATTAAAAAATATTTATAAAGTTCTACATATTTTTTGTTATTGTTGTTGTAAATCAGTTTGCATTATTACTTTTCTTGTTTACAAATAATACTTCGAATGTTAATGTGAGTTATTAGGGTTTTAAAATTAACATTAAAATGTAATAGTAGTGAAACTGTTTGGAATTTTGAACATAATTTAAGAGAATAGGATTCTTTGATAATTGATTGATATGTGTGATGTTTATGTAATTGCTTTCGGAAGCGAATCTTTTTCATTTTAGCAAATCAAACTGCCAGAACTCCGAAACGATCGCATGTGTTATTAATTTCTTAGGGAAAAGTTAACGATTTATTTATCCTTCCCCGACATCTACACAAATAGTTTTCCACTTGATTTTTAAACAAAAATCCAAAACTATTCTATTAAATTATGACCAATCATTGAATTCCATTAGAAAGATTTGGTTTATTAAAGTAAAACTTATAAAAGTGTGTTAGATTAAAGTTAAAATATATTTTACAATTATTTAACATTCAATTAATACAAGTTGTTGTTAAGAAAAAATATAAATCAATTAGAATTAATTAATACTATACAGTAGAGAAGAGAAGGAGGACGTGGAGGAAGAGTTGTTTGAGGTAAGCAAAACCATACCATAAATGATGTATTCTTCTTATATACAACATACAACTTTATAAAAGCACAAACAAAATAAAACAAAATAGTTATACTTTTCTAATGCATTTAGCACTAAAGGTTTGCTTTCAAAAAAAAATGCCTTACCAATTGTTTATATTTTGTTTTGTTTTTTTTTTCTTGCTTTACTAACAATAACATATTCTTCTTGGTTATTTAATTGTTTTATAAAATTCTTAATATTTTTCTTATGTTTATCTAAGTAATACATACAAATATTTACTGGAGTAAAATTTTGGAGCGGAACAAATGGTGTCGTGTGTTTGTTGTCTATTAAAAATGTTGTTGAGTAAATCATTTTTTTTATTATTATTTTTAAAAATTGTATACTTTTATGTCTTGCATGTCTTTAAATACCTTTACAACACGTACAATAATAATAATTTATGTCATTCTCTTTCTTTAGCTTAATAAAGTTCAATAATTTAGTTTGTTTCTGTTTGGATTGTGTCTTTAGTTTGCAACTTTTACTATTAATCGGGTAACATATGGACGAAACTTACGGGGAACATGCCACGACGTGTGGGATCACCTTCAATAACACCCTCCATCCAATTCTCATCATCGGTGCGCTCATTAAGCACAATTAATATTTCACCTTCTTTAAATTCCAATTCATCATCATTGTCAGCCGAACAATCGTATAAAGCACGACAACGACGATGTCCAGTCTGTTAAAAAAAATTATACCAAACACCTCAATTAATTAAAAGTAAATGTTTAAAGTTTTTCCAATCATTTCACTTACATAATTAAATTTATTTGCACTCGTACTTGTGCCTTTTAATAGATTATCAGGTGATGAGTTGATACGATCATTATCACTAGATGATAAGTTTGAATCGGCTGAGTGATCTAAACCGCCTCCAGATGAATCCATATCTGTGTGCCATGATTCATAATCGGCATAATTTGTTGACTGATTCATTAACTGCAAGTGTAGTTGGAAGAAAACAAACAATATTATTTATAATTCAATGATTAAACGTTCATAAAAAAAATAAAAATTATTTATAATGTATAGAGATAAAGAAATTTAATTTTAGTATTAAGAAAAGATTGCCTTTTTGTGTATATATTATTTAAGGTCAAATTTTTATTAATAAAGCAAAAATACTAAACATTTAAGTTAGATATTTTTTGTTAAAGTATAATGGCGCCGATCATACAACTATAGTTTAGAACCTTTAAACAAGGTTTAAAAAACAAACCACATATCTTTAAGCCAATTTCTGTAGCTCATAAAAACAACTTACTTTTTATTACATGAGCTTAATTTTGTAAAGGAAAAGTAATTATTGCTTTCAATGAAAACAGTTAAAAGTGGATTGAAATGTATGAAATTTGTGAAAATACTTTATATCAACTCAAAATAATATCGAAATAAAAGAGAAAGCTACATGGAGAAAAACTCCAAAAAGCTTAAAAAGTAACACAGAGATACATTTTTTGTTTTTATTTTAAAATACTGACACATTTTCAAAATAGATTCATATCTTTGAGAGTACGGTTTACACTTTGTGATCGGAATCATTGAAAAGAGAGGCTTTTGTGTTTTTTATAAAAATGTGTTTCAATCCTTACTACATTAGGTTTTGGCAATTTGTCTCGTGTCTACTCTAATCCACGATTCAAATTTAATTTAAATTTAAAAATTATATACAACTAGGTGAACAACACATAAATAAACATATAAAACAAATAAGAAATTATAAACAAATAGAAACACAGATCGGAACTTCGAAAAAGCATAAATACAAAAGAGTTCAGAAAAATAAAAATTTTCACCATTATATATAAAAGTATTTTCATATCGAAAATATCCTAGCAATGATTCAATTTTAGTTCAGTTCTAGTTCAGTTCTAGTTCAGTTCAAGTTCAGTCTAGTTCAGTTCTAGTTCAGTTCTAGTTCAGTTCTAGTTCTAGTTCAGTTCTAGTTCAGTTCTAGTTCAGTTCTAGTTCAGTTCTAGTTCAGTTCTAGTTCAGTTCTAGTTCAGTTCTAGTTCAGTTCTAGTTCAGTTCTAGTTCAGTTCTAGTTCAGTTCTAGTTCAGTTCTAGTTCAGTTCTAGTTCAGTTCTAGTTCAGTTCTAGTTCAGTTCTAGTTCAGTTCTAGTTCAGTTCTAGTTCAGTTCTAGTTCAGTTCTAGTTCAGTTCTAGTTCAGTTCTAGTTCAGTTCTAGTTCAGTTCTAGTTCAGTTCTAGTTCAGTTCTAGTTCAGTTCTAGTTCAGTTCTAGTTCAGTTCTAGTTCAGTTCTAGTTCAGTTCTAGTTCAGTTCTAGTTCAGTTCTAGTTCAGTTCTAGTTCAGTTCTAGTTCAGTTCTAGTTCAGTTCTAGTTCAGTTCTAGTTCAGTTCTAGTTCAGTTCTAGTTCAGTTCTAGTTCAGTTCTAGTTCAGTTCTAGTTCAGTTCTAGTTCAGTTCTAGTTCAGTTCTAGTTCAGTTCTAGTTCAGTTCTAGTTCAGTTCTAGTTCAGTTCTAGTTCAGTTCTAGTTCAGTTCTAGTTCAGTTCTAGTTCAGTTCTAGTTCAGTTCTAGTTCAGTTCTAGTTCAGTTCTAGTTCAGTTCTAGTTCAGTTCAGTTCTAGTTCAGTTCTAGTTCAGTTCAGTTCTAGTTCAGTTCTAGTTCAGTTCAGTTCTAGTTCAGTTCTAGTTCAGTTCTAGTTCAGTTCTAGTTCAGTTCTAGTTCAGTTCTAGTTCAGTTCTAGTTCAGTTCTAGTTCAGTTCTAGTTCAGTTCTAGTTCAGTTCTAGTTCAGTTCTAGTTCAGTTCTAGTTCAGTTCTAGTTCAGTTCTAGTTCAGTTCTAGTTCAGTTCTAGTTCAGTTCTAGTTCAGTTCTAGTTCAGTTCTAGTTCAGTTCTAGTTCAGTTCTAGTTCAGTTCTAGTTCAGTTCTAGTTCAGTTCTAGTTCAGTTCTAGTTCAATTCAGTTCTAGTTCAGTTCTAGTTCAGTTCGGTTCTAGTTCAGTTCTAGTTCAGTTCTAGTTCAGTTCTAGTTCAGATCTAGTTCAGTTGTAGTTCAGTTGTAGTTCAGTTCTTGTTTACTTTTACTTTTGGTTCAGTTCTAGTTCTTGTTTAATTCTACTTTTGTTAAATATTGTTTTGTTAAATTCTAGTTCTTTTTCAGTTCTACTTTTTGTTCAATTCTAGTTTTAATGCACATTTAGTTCTACTTTTTGTTCAATTCTAGTTTTAATGCACATCTAGTTCTTCTTTTTGTGAACTTTTAGATCTTGTACAGTTTTTGCCCAGCCCTAGCTAATAGCTCCTAGTTACAGTTCTGTTCTAGTTCTTGTTCAGTCGTACTTCCGTTCGAATCTGAAATAAGAAAGGAAATATTACAAATATAATTTACTATGAGTTGTGCTTATTTGTTCTCGAATTAACCATGAGAGAATACACAGTTAATAACAGCAAACTAGAAAATCTAGAAACTAACTTAGGGTTAGTTGCTTTTCTATTACAGAAAATTATATAAACTTGCTATCGTAGTATAAAGCATATTTTGTTTATAACGGCATATTTTACATCGTAAAATATGTGAACTTTAAAAACAAATAAGTTAAATTGATTTTTATATAACAATGAGAAAAAGCAGTTCGTTACATGCTTTAATTGGCTCGTGAAAGTCGTTTTGTAAAAAATTATATGTACACATATAATCATATAAATATAAATATAAATAATTTTGTTAAGTAAATCAATATTAAAATTAAACGATTAAACAAAAAACAACACAGCAAATTGCAAACAAACAGCGAACCAATTTTTTTACCGTTTCCTCACTGGGTTGTGATAATTTCAATAACCTGTTATGTTTGCGCTGAAAAATATTTCAAAATAAGGTAATTGATTTGAAAAAAAGAAGAATTCGTATAAAGACAATAATAAATATTTAAAGAAATAACAAAGCAGCATTTAAATTGTAACATGGTAACATGGGTTCACTAAAAGTACAATAGCATTTGCAGTACCTACAAAATTGTTTAAATTCAATGTGAAATATTGATTTGCTTACCTTACGGGGTGGCGCAATAGGACCTTCATCCATAGAACTAATACTTTCATTCGATTGACCATTCGCTATTTCACGATCTTAAAATAAACAAATAACGATAAAAATATAAAGTTAATCATACCGAATTGTTAATTACCTGATGATGGCGGTCCGGGAGGTGGTATTTTTGGACGTGTTAAAGCAGATTTATCAACATGTTTCAATGTTGGTATTTCACCTGCAGGTGGTAATACTAATTTTGCACCAGCCAAGTGCAAATTTCGATTCAGCGACTCACCACTGGGCGAGCGTTTATGACCAAATGTTGTCATGGCTGGCAATATGTGATGGCTTGTGGGGGGTGGTCCACCATTCGGATCCTGTGAAACGAGTTTATCGAAACGTTCATAGAAACCACCACCATGTGATGCTGAACTATTGTGACCCATAATGCGAGGACTACTATCTACGGAACGTAAATGTGGCAATGTACCATAGTTGGCATCCATCGATTGATTCTTTTGATTGTGCGTTCGTATATCGTTTGTATCGAAATTTTGTGAATGTCGGGGAGCATGCGGCAATGTACCATAGAATGTCGATGAATTTGTACTAGTACCCGGAGGTGGTGCTGGTGCTGTACGTTTTTTCAAAGAATTCATATTGGCTGAAAATTTAGTTGCCCAAAATTATATACAATTTCCCCAGTTTACAAATACAAAAATATTAAATTTACCTGTAGATGTGGATTTTCGAGCGCCACCTACAAACTCACTGTTACTTCTTGGTCCCATGCGACCACTCTGACTGGATGCCGAACTGGGACTGGAACCGCCACCAGCAGCTGCACTATTCGTACATCCTGCATTTATGTTGCCGGCACTACCCAAATACTGACCAAGTGACATTTGTTGTTTTGGCGATGTCCCGGCTGACTGTTGATACATGGGCAATGTAAACTGTCGAGTAGGACAGTTGGCTATTGGACTAGAACTACTCTGTATAGAATCACAAGTTGAGGAACGAGAACGTAATACGGGTGAATCACCACCAGCGAAACTTGGTGGACGGGAGCGTTTCTAAAAAGAAATCAATATATTTAAAGGGTTTTATTATGTATTTTTATTTTTCAGTCAATAAAGCTGCAATGGCCTATATTCCTATCGTTGTGGCTATAGTTTATAGTCCTTACTATAGTTTCTAGTCCTGACTATAATCTATATTCCACTCTATTCTATAGTGTATACTATATCCCGATCTATTGTTCAGACTATAGTCCAGTCTACAGTCCATTATATAGTCCAGACTGTAGTCCAGGTTATAGTCCAGACTGTAGTCAATAATACCGACTATTGACTACCATACTATAGTGCAGTCTATAGTCTAGTCTATAGTCTAGACTACAGCTAGGTCTATTGTTCAAACCATAGCTGTAAAATAATGATTAATAATCGTAATCATTATTAATTAGATTATTTTTATTAAAAAGGTAAAATTAATGATTAATTAACGATTATTTTCAATTTTTTTAATTAATTATTGATTACGATTAAAAATAATCTAAAAATAATCAGGGATTAATTGGAATTAATGAAAATAATCAAAAAAAATCAAAATTAATCAAAAAATTAGTTGATTATTTTCAAGGATTAATTTTGATTAATTTGGATTATTTTCCATATATTTAGTATAATTTCCTCCCAAAAAAAACTCTAAGAAAAATTTAATTATTTTTCCGCTAATCCACTAAAAATTACGGATTTTTTGAGACCCATTTCGAAAAGATTGCAGTAATTTTTTTCTAATATCTTGTACTGAGATCAAGATTTTCAATCGAAATAAACTTGATAAATATATTGCTTTCGATAAAACAGTCATATAATCGAATAGTGTGTAATTTGAAAAACATTTTTCCATTACTCGTAATGTAAAAAGATAGAGAATTGTACCAAATATATTGAAATTAATCAAAAATAATCAAAATTAATCCTTGAAAATAATCAAATTAATTATTTGATTAATTCTGATTATTTTTGATTATTTTCATTAATTTTTATTAATCCTGATTATTTTTAGATTAATTTTAATCGTAATCAATTAATAATCAGAAATTTTATACCAGAGAATTAAATAATCATTACGATTATTTTTTAAAAATAATTTAATTGATTATTAATCGTAATCGAAATTTTACAGCTATGGTTAAAACTATAGTCCAGTCTACAGTCCAGTATATAGTTCAGTCTATAGTCCAGTCTATAGTCCAGTTTATAATCTAGTTTATAGTCTAGACTATTGTCCAGACTATAGTCCGGTCTATAGTCGAGTCTATTGTCCAGAATATAGACTAGTCTATAGTCCAGACTATAGTCGACTGTATAGTCCAGACTATAGTCGATTGTATAGTCCAGACTACAGTCGACTGTATAGTCCAGATTATAGTCGAGTCTATAGTCCAGACTATAGTCGAGTCTATAGTCCAGACTATAGTCGAGTCTTTAGTTCAGACTATAGTCGAGTCTATAGTCCAGTCTATAGTCTATAGAATATAGACTAGTCTATAGTCCAGACTATAGTCGACTGTATAGTCCAGACTATAGTCGATTGTATAGTCCAGACTACAGTCGACTGTATAGTCCAGATTATAGTCGAGTCTATAGTCCAGACTATAGTCGAGTCTATAGTCCAGACTATAGTCGAGTCTTTAGTCCAGACTATAGTAGAGTCTATAGTCCAGACTATAGTCGAGTCTATAGTCCAGACTATAGTCGAGTCTATAGTCCAGACTATAGACGAGTCTATAGTCCAGACTATAGACGAGTCTATAGTCCAGACTATAGTCGAGTCTATAGTCCAGACTATAGTCGAGTCTATAGTCCAGACTATAGTCGAGTCTATAGTCCAGACTATAGTCGAGTCTATAGTCCAGACTATAGTCGAGTCTATAGTCCAGACTATAGTCCATACTATAGTCGAGTCTATAGTCCAGACTATAGTCGAGTCTATAGTCCAGACTATAGTCGAGTCTATAGTCCAGTCTATAGTCGAGTCTATAGTCCAGTCTATAGTCCAGACTATAGTCGAGTCTGTAGTCCAGACTATAGTCGAGTCTATAGTCCAGACTATAGTCGAACCTATAGTCCAGATTATTATCATAAACTATACTTTCTGTGATCCAAACTAATCTATCTACTTACACGTTCATCAATCACAGTATCATCATCTGAAAAATCTGTTGAACCATCTTCATTCGGCAGATTCCAATCAGTGTTAATGTGATCGAAAGCACTTTTCTCCCGTCTCATGGCACATTCAATCTATAAGTCAAAAGTTTCCATTTATTACATATACACTCCAACCACCAAAAACTATGCATAACATACCAATTCTTTACACACGGTATGGCCCATTTCTTTGGCTATGTCCAGCGCTGTTTTATTTTGTGAATTACGCAATTCATAATCGGCTCCCGAACGCAATAACAATTTAATACATTCGCGTTTATCGTGTAGAGCGCACAAATGCAAGGCGGTATTTTTTCCGGTAACATTTAATATACTGGGTGGATTTGTGGCCTTATTAAGACCTTTTGGTGGCATATTTTGTATGAGAAAATCAACAATGTGGAGTGTGGAACCCTGTTCTCTTAGCACGGCTAAATGAAGTGGAGTTTCACCATCATCCCAGGAGGGTAAACAACATGTGAGATCAGCACCCTCAGCCCAAACTTGCAACAGTTGACTCATGTCGGCATTAACAACAGCCTGTTCCAGGTCACAGCGTAAATCATTTTCATCGGCACAGGTGCGCATCACATAACGTTTCGCCACATATTTGGCTCGTATGAAATCATAACGTTGTTCCCTTAAGAGCAAATTAATATTGTAGTTATAAATTTGATATAAAAATTAACAACAAAAAACAACTTACATTGTACTATCAGGTGTTAGTTTTCCTTTGCCCAATGTTGCTTCCATAATCTCATTTAAGGTATGATTACCCATGGCACGAGCTATCAACAGATTGGCTGTAGTTAAATTATCCAAAGTTAAACTTTGTATACGAGAATGATGCACACCGAGATCTCGATGAACGCCTGAACATTGTATACACACCAGTATACCAAAATTCAGACTAGTCCAAGTGACATCGTTGCGTGAGCCACAATCGCAACATTGATCGTTGCCCGGCAACATTTGGACGTATCTACGGAATATTTAATAATTTAGTTTTTTTCAAAAACATATTCAACTGTACGTACCTTATAACAGTCTTTTGTAGCTCAACTAAACTAGGACTCATTTGTGGATTTGCATGTTGGAATGCTTTAGCTAAAGCTTTTTCTTTACAATTAACCAAAACAGCCATCCAGGCTTTTTGATCAGCTTCATCTTCAGCTTGAAAATGATATGGACGATTATCTGCATAACATAATACAACAAATATTTAATAAAACTTTTTTAATTAATATCTATTTTTGCATTTTACTTACAACTGATTAAATCAAAGCCACGCTTATCATCTGGCACTGGTTTAATCTGACACGTTAATAGATTCACTCTTGTAGGTGGTTTTGTTTCATCCGCATGACAAATATCAAGAAACCCATCACTGGTAACACGACATCGTCGTTTCTGCCACACCCTTCGCACTTTACCCTCACTTTTCTTTAGTAAATGTCCCGATCGTGTTACGCCATGATGTTTATCACCTTGCAGCTGATGTAGGGAATAACCTGTACCTCCTCCTCCTTTATCCGTTGGCACATTCTCGACTCTCTCAAAATCCGGCGTACTTCGCAATAACGTTCGCAATTCCAGTAAACTACGACGATCTTCATCTTGTCGTTGTTTAATTTTATGTAATTTATCACTTAAATCACTAATATACGTTCCAAAATGTTCAATTGTCTGTAGACCGTCTTTGAAATAACTGAAATACGAAAAAGGATATTAAAAGAATTCATTAGCAATATAGATTTGCTATAAAAACTTTGCAAATTTTGATATTAATATAGTGCATATATGGGAAATGTATTGAAGAAGTCAAGTGAAAATGTTGTCTTTTTTGTCATCTTGTACGTCGTATTTTCTGCCGTCTTGTATTTAGTCTTATCAGGAAATCGGTTCGTTCCGGATCAGAGATCCAACTGTCTTGCAATCGGCGTCTTGTCTGTCTCTCCAAATATACATACATATATAAATAAAATGTTAGTGATGATCATTTTATAATTGATCATAGATCTCATATAAGACCTTAATTCGAAAATTATTTTGCCTTATAGTCGGCCTTGACCGACATAATTTTCTTAATTGTTTTTATAACTTTTTAGTGTTTTTTGAGATATTTCTCGGAATAATTAAATCGTATAACAAAACTTTAAAAATGGAATTATAGATCACAAATATCTCAATTACAATTCCTCAACAAATCAAAAAACATTATGTACAATGACAAACAAATAAAAGCGAGATATTTACATAAAAACACATAAAAAATTTTCGCAATAAACAATTTACTATTCAAAACATGCACAATAATCACAAATTTGGAATATGCTGCTGGTGGTTGTATACAATTTCACTTCATACGGGTGTTTGAAATGATCTTACAATAATATATTACTCGTTGCTTATACATGTACATAATGTATACAAAATATGTACATAGTATGTATAATAATTCGGATAGTATTGTACTTACTTATTCAAAGCATGATAGTATTCGATAAAATGCTGCAGCAGCTCGATGCCAGTTTTTGTTTTGATTTCCTTATATTTCAACAAATACTAGAAAACAGAAACAATAAAAAATAAACAGTTTTAAATTACAAATATTTTTATTTGGTGAGAATGTCAGTTGGAAGATTAAAATATGTGTTAAAGTGTGATGTGGTTTTAAATATATGTACATATGTATGTAGATATTACCTCGCATGTTTGTAATTGATAGAGACGTCTTTCCTTTTCCATTTCATCAGCCACAACGGCAGCATCAATTTCCGTTCGTACCATACCGGCTTCTTTGGCTTGTGCCTTTTTCTCTTTTTCAATTTTTATAAATTTAGCTTCATAATCTTTGGCTGCCTTATCAAAGGGTCTTTTCATTTCACCCTTAACACCTCTCAATTCACTCTTAAGCATTGTATCTACCGGAAACATAACAATATTATTGATATTTTGCATCTGTAAGAAAATTACCGAAAATTAATTAATTCATTACAAACATATTTTGAATAATCTATTAAACATACCAAAGTTTTCATTAATGCACTCAATTCTTTTGTTACCACCGAAAATTTAAGGAATGCAGCACCTATATCAGGTTCATCTTGATCTATTACTTTCCCACCCAAACGTTCTAAGGCTCTCACCAAAAACATTTCGTTGTCCACATGTGCTGCAAAACAAAAAAAAGGAAACAAGTTAATAAAGGAAATAGAAAATGGATGTTGCCAGCAAAATTTAAATGGAAAAGGAAAGAAAGAAAGATTATGAAATGTGTTTCTTGTGTTTAGTTTATTTTGTTATCAATATATTTACACATGGATGTACATATGTAAGTATTATCGATTTATTTTAAATGCAATATATAATTGCATTACTACTAACACACATGTTAAACATACATGTTTGAGAGGTATAAAGAAAAAAAAAACATCATGTTTGTCATGTGTAAATCAAAAATTTGTTAAAAAACTTACTATTTCCTGAATTGTGTATGGCCTTGACTGCCTTTTTCAGTTTTGTTAGTCCTTCACGGTCGAATTCCAAACGCTGTAAATAAAAATAAAATAGAAAACAAAAATATATTACAAACTGTTTTTTTTTGTATTGACTTGTTTAATGTATTTATGTAATTGTAAAATAAAAAACTTGTACGCGTTTTATAAAAACTATTAAAATATTTATTTCCTTTCGGGAAAAGACAAAAATATTCGGAAAAGTTCAAAAAGTCGACTTTTCAAAATACACAAAATTCGAAAAGTCGACTTTTTGTTTCAACTATAGAACTTTGCCTCTGTCCAGGCATGGAAAATTGAAATTTTGAAATACATAGTAAGAAATTATAAGTTATACCAAAAAGAGTACTTTTAAGGTTTTAAAGTACAAAACTAATTTTCTACACGACCATGTACTAGACTATAGACTAGACTTTAGACTAGACTAGACTATAGACTATACTATAGACTAGACTATATAGACTAGACTATAGACTAGATAGACTAGATAGACTAGACTAGACTATAGACTAGACTAAGACTAGACTATAGACTAGACTAAAGACTAGACTATAGACTAGACTATAGACTAGACTATAGACTAGACTAGACTAGACTAGAGACTATAGACTAGACTATAGACTAGACTATAGACTAGACTATAGACTAGACTATAGACTAGACTATAGACTAGACTATAGACTAGACTATAGACTAGACTATAGACTAGACTATAGACTAGACTATAGACTAGACTATAGACTAGACTATAGACTAGACTATAGACTAGACTATAGACTAGACTATAGACTAGACTATAGACTAGACTATAGACTAGACTATAGACTAGACTATAGACTAGACTATAGACTAGACTATAGACTAGACTATAGACTAGACTATAGACTAGACTATAGACTAGACTATAGACTAGATTATAGACTAGACTATAGACTAGACTATAGACTAGACTATAGACTAGACTATAGACTAGACTATAGACTAGACTATAGACTAGACTATAGACTAGACTATAGACTAGACTATAGACTAGACTATAGACTAGACTATAGACTAGACTATAGACTAGACTATAGACTAGACTATAGACTAGACTATAGACTAGACTATAGACTAGACTATAGACTAGACTATAGACTAGACTATAGACTAGACTATAGACTAGACTATAGACTAGACTATAGACTAGACTATAGACTAGACTATAGACTAGACTATAGACTTAGACTATAGACTAGACTATAGACTAGACTATAGACTAGACTATAGACTAGACTATAGACTAGACTATAGACTAGACTATAGACTAAGACTATAGACTAGACTATAGACTAGACTATAGACTAGACTATAGACTAGACTATAGACTAGACTATAGACTAGACTATAGACTAGACTATAGACTAGACTATAGACTAGACTATAGACTAGACTATAGACTAGACTATAGACTAGACTATAGACTAGACTATAGACTAGACATAGACTAGACTATAGGACTAGACTATAGACTAGACTAGACTATAGACTAGACTACTACTAGACTAGACTATAGACTAGACTATAGACTAGACTATAGACTAGACTATAGACTAGACTATAGACTAGACTATAGACTAGACTATAGACTAGACTATAGACTAGACTATAGACTAGACTATAGACTAGACTATAGACTAGACTATAGACTAGACTATAGACTAGACTATAGACTAGACTATAGACTAGACTATAGACTAGACTATAGACTAGACTATAGACTAGACTATAGAATAGACTATAGACTAGACTATAGACTAGACTATAGACTAGACTATAGACTAGACTATAGACTAGACTATAGACTAGACTATAGACTAGACTATAGACTAGACTATAGACTAGACTATAGACTAGACTATAGACTAGACCATAGACTAGACTATAGACTAGACTATAGACTAGACTATAGACTAGACTATAGAATAGACTATAGACTAGACTATAGAATAGACTATAGACTAGACTATAGACTAGACTATAGACTAGACTATAGACTAGACTATAGAAAAGGACTTGAAAGTCAATAATTCACTTATAAACGCTAGTATTAATAATAAATAACTTTGTAAACGTAAATCCCTATACCAATAGTTATAAGGATAGGCCCATATTTACCCTTTCTCCCGTATAACCCCTCTTTAAGAAAATAATTTTTTTTATTTTATTTTTTTTTTTTTTTTTTTTTTTGTCAACAATATTTCGGAATTAAGGCAAAAAACAACTTAAATACCTTATTATTAAAAAAATCTATATTTTTTACATACTACTAACAGTACATGCTTAGATGTTTTTGATATCAAAAATGACTGAAAAAGTAATAAAGTACTCAATTTTCCATGCCTGCCTATGTTTACATTTAAGAAAACGAAACCGGGTATTCCCCTTTTATAAGCGTTGATAAGTGAGAAATATAAGCAAAACAAAACAGCAATCAGTATACATTTGAGTTTCATTGAAAGAAGCCGTTTTGCAAATACGTATTTACATAAAAATTAAACAAAGAAAATGTCTACAAAAACTGCCATGCTTTGCACAAAATGCAAGGAAGTTTTGAACAGTGAAGATGATATTTTTGGTACAAGTTGTGGGCATTTGTATCATTTCCTTTGCTTGCGTGAATGCCACGGCCAGTAAGTGTATTATCTTTAGTTAAATATTTTGCAAATCTATAGGAAATTTTATATTTTTTGCTTACATATACATACATAGATCAACAAACTGTTCACATTGTGAGTCATACAAGCCATGCATGTTTAAAATGTTTTTGGAATTTGGTGAAGCTATACAACCCATTAATTGGGAGGATCAAACAAAAACAATTGAACTTCATAATGAACTGGAAGAAAGTAAAGAGAGATTAATTTGTCTAGAGGAAAAATACAAATACTCACAAGTGGCAGTGCAAAAACTTGAGGGAAAATTAAAGAAACATAATGACGCACTAAAATCTAAAGATATCACCATGGCGGATTTAGAGGAACGTATAACAAATTTAGAAGAATTAAATAGTTTTCTGTGTGCCCAATTAGAATCGAAGACAAAACATAAAGAAGAAACGGTAGTTCAAAACTCCAATAATCAAATGAAAAAGTGTGAGCATTTATCGGAACAGCTGGAGCAAGAAATTGCAAAAAATTCTGAAATGTCAATAGAAAATATGAAATTGAAAGCATTTCTAAATCTAGCAAATAATGAAATTGGCATGGATGCTATAAATCTGTCAGAACATGTTTTTTCTAATAATCAAACTGGAAACACTGATCAATCAAAAGAAAGCGGTAATCATATTGAAGAAATTGTTTCTCATACAGAAACAATTTCGGAACCAATCAACCAAAATAGTGGAAACACAAATGCTGAAGAAAACTCTAAACAATCGGCATCAAGCAACCTTGAAAATACAACCGATTCTCATACAATTTTAATTCGCAATTATCATATCCAAGATTTAAAAAATCCTTTAGAAAGTGTTATTATCGATATGGCCTCCCGCATGAAAATAAATTTATGTTCTTCAGATATAGTCAGAGTAATAAAAATTAAAAATAATTCAACATCAGTTTCGCTTATTGTAGCTTTTAAAAATTTAAAATCTCGTCAAGAATTTCTTAAGAATAAATATCGTTTGAAAAAATTTAAATGTACAAGATATTTAGAAGTATGTACAAGTAGCACAAAATGAATATATGTATAATAAAGAGAATTGCAAAAGTAATACTTAAATAATTGTTTTAATTTGAAATTCATTTAATGAATATAAATAATAACAAACAAATAACTTTTAAATATACCGCAAACTTGTTTAAAAATAATAAACATTTATAAATAAGTATAATAGAGATTACCAAAGACAGCAATCAGTGTATACAGAATCGAATTCCTATAATTGCGGTTATGGGGTTTGAACCCTTCAAAGGGTTAATTCACACTGATATGTGCCGTTGTGTTGACCTCCTGCTTTAGAGCGAAAGAGGACTTTATATGTGAGCTTATGGTGATTTTTTTTAGTGGACCTCGTATGGAAGCTTTGGTTTTTATAACCCACGCTACTATAGTGGGCAACGTATTATGCGTTTGTGCTGATGTTTGTAACAACCAAAAATATTTGTACTACACCCACCCTAAGGTATACCAGTCGGCTCAGAATCACTTTCTGAGTAGATTTAGCTATGTCTGTACGTTCTTCCGTCTGACCGTATGTCTGTGTGTCCATGCAAAGTTTGTGTGCACGCTACAGGTCGCAATTTTAAAGATAATTTGATGAAATTTGGCACATACTCTTCTTTTGGACGCAAGGACGAAGCAAATTGAAAATTGTTAAAATCGGTCCATTATTTCGCCATTAGTATATCTTTAAAAATCTGCAAAACTTAGTGTTATATAAGTCTAAATACATAACAATTCCATTTTCGTAATGATCGGGGATCATTTGACCCTATCCCACATACAAAATGACCTTAAGGTAAAAAATCACATATAAACACTAATATCACAATGAGATTCTATCAAAATTTATAGCCCCTCTTTTAAAAAATCTTTTTTGCCAACTATCTGGTGTATGGTATCATATTGTCGGCCATGCCCTACTATACATTATTACTTGATAGTTAATAAATTATGTATTATTGATTTTCAGAAGAGGACAAGCTGTAAATCCTCCAGAGCTGTAAATGAATCATTAATTTTTGAATTTATTTGTGAACTGAATTAGCAAATTCTGTATTAATTCTTTTTACATATAAAATGAATTGAATGAAATTTGAGTCAATTCATATGAAATTGGTAAAAATAAATTGCCATTAATTTACAACTCAAATAAATTTTGTAAATAAACTGCAATTCGTTGAAAATGAATTGCCAATTCCTTTTTCTAATTCATTTGAATTAATTCAAAATCAATTCAAATGAATTGGAAATGAATTGCAATTCATTTGACAAATTCATTTGAATTAATTCAAATTTCATTCAATTCTCTTTTTTGTGAAAGGAATTAATTCAAAATCTGAAATGAATGATTCATTTACATCTCTGAAATCCTCTATGTAATTTTAATACATAAGCAAAAAAAGTCAGAATTGATAAATATTCGAGTGCATAGATATCATAACAAATAACATATAATGAAACAACAAAAGATATTTCCATAAACAAAGTGTTTTAATGGAAATAAATTATAAACAACTGATTATTAGTTTTTTATTGACACAATTACAGATACATTTTTAAATCAATATTGCAAAATTTGTATTAATAATTCTTTTAAAATTAAGATTGAAGAGCATTTTCGGTATAAACTTATACCCACAAATGTAAGATAAGAGTTTATTGTATGAATGAAACAAACAATTTATAAATAAATTTATTTTGTGGAAAAAATATACAAAATACACATATATACATACAGACAAATGAAACAACATTCTTGATAAGAAAAAACTCATAAGAAAAAGAAGCAAGAATTTAAAACAAAACACGATAAAATGTCAAGTATTTAACATATGTAGAATCGTGTTATTTTAAGTAAATGCATGATTTTGAATGTGATTTTTAAATTAAAACGGCAAGATACAAAAAAAGTCAAAGACACACAAAAATTATAAACCGAAAAAAAAAAAACAATTTTTAACAATTATTTACATCCGGCTTATATAAGTTTAAAATGCACAATTAATATATAGTATACATACAGTGATGAAAAGAAGTTAAAAGGTTTTTAGTTCTAACTCTTTAGAATTTAAATTGTTTGATTTTATTGTTTTTTTCTTAGTTTTATTTAAAATCTGAGTGAAAAATTAAAAAATTTCGAATATAAATTTTTTAGTGAAAGATTTAGATTTTTAATTAAATATTTTTATAATTTATTTACTTAACTTGTTCTCTAGTTTTTATAATCGTTATTTAAAATATTTAGGAAATTTATGTAAAAAAATATTTATTTTTTAAAATTTATATACAAAATCTATTGTTCAAAATAATAGGAGTATTCGATTTAAGTTCAATTATTTTTAAAATAAAAACAAACACGAAAGAACTTTTATCTAAAATATTATTAATTAATGTGTGACAGTACAACATCAGTCATATTTGTAAAGATTTTATTTAGAATTTGGGTATATGAGCCTCCGGAACTTAATGTCTTTCCGACAACGGTTTTGAGGGGCTTGATGACACATGTCGTGGCCGATTACCAACAAATATGCAGTAATTTATTCAGAAAGCCTTAAAAGATGTTATACGCAAGGTCTTTTAACGTTTTGTTTTAGAATCAGTAAGTCGACAACCATGTAATGGCCTTCTTCCTATGGAACGAGCTTCCACCAATTTGGAATCAATTATGTTTTCATACGACAACACCGCCATTTTATCAAATTTGTTTATTGGGAATATGAGAACATATCTTGGGGTAATATATTTACCTACAACATTTGATCTACGATATCATTTTACAATTTATTAGACCATACCCTTTTTGTCAAGACCCATCATGAATCATTCCTATTATACAACTTCTTCGAGAGTTGGTTTTAGCTTAATATTTTCGATTAATGGACTTCCAATATAGTTTCTGAATTCATTTAGATCTAAAAATGTTATTTGTTGTCGTATTCATGCATTAAAAACTCATCCATTTATGAAACCACCTCCAAATGTGTTACTTTATGGGTTTCACTGTATGCTTTATGGGTTTCACTATATGCTTTATGGTCTGAAATTAAATTTTATGGTCTGAAATTAAATTTTTAAGTCTCACTCCTATTTTTTTGAACGCAGCTGTACATATTATTACTTATTACAGTTGAATTTAAAAATAGCTTTCACCAGTGATGCCAGGAGATTTTTTTCAGAAATCCCTACGCTTATGAGAAAAAATCCCTTTTTTCCCTACACCCACTTTTTATTTTCCCTACATTTTTCCCTACACTACTTTTTTCCAAGTTTATCTTAAAAAATACAAAAATAACAAAAAACTAAAATATTAGCTCCGTTTTATAATATACATATATACATATATATGTATTTTTTTTTAATTTTTAGGAATGAAATTTCTAGAATTTAAATTTTTTTTCTTTTAATTTTACATAATACAAATCTTCCAAGCCTGACTCTTCAGTTAAGATTAAAAAAACAAGACAATTGATAGATTTATGGCAGTATCACGATTCGATGTTAAAAATTTATTTTATGTTTTTTAAGGCTTACTTTCGCGTTTACTTTTGCGTTTTCTTTTTGCGGTTTACTTTTATAAATTTTCAGAACATTAAATCTATATGAAAGATTTTAGTATGTCGCATGTTTTGTAGACCTCAGTTCAAGAAACCCGAATTTTGGATTATGCCAGTCTTGTAACGATATGTAGGTACATATATTGTAGAAATTACAAGCGGAATTTTTACTAACGATACACTTAAAACTGATTTCATTTTTAATTTTAAAGTTTAATACATGAAAGGATATATTTTTAGTTGTTAAAAACTATGAAATTGAAAAATCTCTACAATTTGACAATAGTAAGAAATCTTTCCCTTTTTCCCTACACGTGAAATTTTTGAAAAAAATCCCTACAAAAAGGGAAAAATCCCTACACTTGGCATCACTGGCTTTCACTGTCTTAGACAATGAAATATCTTGATCGTCAAAAACTATAACCAAAGCAACGATATTTTGATATAATAAACCAATATTATAAATAAATTTAAACATACATAAATCTGTCTTTTCACAAGAAGAACGGAAATTTTAGCCTATTACAGAACCCCGATTCTTGTACAGAACGATATTAGTGACCAACAGGGTTAAATATTTAGGTGTTGTTCTTGTTCGGAAACTAAAATGGAAATACCATACAGAGGATGAAACCAACAAATCATGTCGATGTTGGGCGCTATTTATTAGAACCATGGGCTTAGTCACGAACAAATTCTAAATTACTCTTTAAAAATTTACTCGATTTCATTGGACAAAATGTTCATAGTTCATAGTACATGTTGCTTGGGTATTAGTGGGGACATTAGCTTTTGCTCTTGAAACATTGCTGTATATTCCTCCAACCAAAAGCATATAAGATATGATGTGGAGCTCAAGGTAATGGGCGCCATATTAATTCCAATCCGATTTACGCATTCAGTTATTGCTCGGACTTCTGCCTAAAAGCTTGTATTATGATTAGGTAAACGGTGCTATATTTCTGTTTCTGGGTCTTCAATATAGAACCCCAGGCCCACTTTGTCACCCAATTTAGAGCCATCCGAGTAACATCGAATTCCTACTGGTATTTGCTCTAATATTCCGCTTGGGATCAGCGTTTCACAGTTTCCGACATATTCTGTATGTGGTATGCGATCAGGCACATCCGATAATTGTGTATAACCTTCCAATGTGTCCAGTATACACTGATGACGTGTCCTGTAACTGCTTTTTGACAGTTTGCCTAAAGTAAACAGCCGTTCTGCTGTAAGCGCCGTCTCATATCTTAAATATGTTTCAATGGGTGAAATATCTAGCAACGTTTCCAGAGCCTTGGTTGAAGTAGTACACATGGCACCACTTATACCCAAGCAGCATTTACGCCGAACTCCCTGTAGTAGTTTGATATTATACTTTTTGTCTAAAGCAGTCCACCAGATTATTGAAGCATATGCTAGAATTCCGTCTTCGACGGGTAAACATTGAGGCTTCTCGGTTGAGCCCAGCTCAAAGCCATATTCAGAGCCTCCT